TTTTTATTTTTTTTTTATGCAGAAACATAGAGTTTATTGTTAAGAAGAATGTAATGAATTTTTTATTTATTTTTTTAAAAGTGTATACTTATGTTTTACCAATGTACATAGTTTTTAGTGTCTTGGCATGGTTTCAAGTGTTTTGTATATAGATTTTTTTAATTTTGTACATAGTATGTTTGACTAATATTTTCTTTACTTTTTATGTTTGTTTTTACTTAGGCCAGATATAATACTTTAATTTTGTACTTTTTTGTTATTCTAAAGGGACTCCCTCCCAGAATAAAATTATTTTCTATTCTATTCTAAATGCAAATACACTTCAATTAGTCGACTGGAGCCGACTTTAACCGAATGAGCGTTACATATACCAACGTGACGACTCAGCCTCATTCATTACCCTAAAAAAAAATGCTAAGTGCGCCTAAAGACGATTTCACTTAAATAAAAGGCTGAAGGAATACGAGAAAAGACGAAATTATACCAACATTTCTCTCCCTCGATGGTTGTTTTATAACTTATTATATCATTGTGGTTTGCGAGGGATATGACCAGAACAGAAGGGAGCTGTTATCCTACTGATTGCCTGGCTGAAGATAACCATCTAATTGGAAATATGAGTAATATCTGAGGATTATCTATGGTTGGATTGATACGATAAGAAGCTCGGCTGTAAATGCGACTTACGAGGATTATTTCATAATGAACATTTTTAATGGTCAATAGCTAATCAATAATAATGCCTTGATTACTTGAGCTTAGTAAATGGATTTGTAATATTGTGAAGGTGAAAATAAACACCTCCATCTCTTAATCAGGGTACATTTCAATTAAAAAGAGAATTAGCATTCTGTTAATAGTAAAGTCTAGAGAAGCGTTAAAGATGTTAGTTAGGGTATTACACCAGTTAAGATATATATTAGAGTGTTGAGAGAGTGGATAGAGGAGTCCTAAGATGTAGGGAGGGTTTTTTGGTTCTGAAGACTTTGAAAAAGAAAACATCAAGATCGAACTGCCGTCGGAAAATAGGATAAAGCCACTTCAACTCGGTGTATCTACGGTGTATATGAATATGTATCTTAACTGATGCAATATTCTAACTAATAGCCCTGGAGCCAGGGCCAAAAATCGAACTGATCGCAAGCGAAAGTTTGAATGTAAATTACGAAAGTTCATGTTATTCTGAGTAAAAAGAACCTTGTCTGCCGTACCTGTTTAAAAAATGGCGGCTGATTTAGAGAATATTAGACCAATAATTATTGTATAGAAAAGGGAAATCCATTGCGAAAATTGCTAACGCGGGCCACCAAGGGAAAACTTTTTACAGTCAAAAAGTCAGGGTTTTTTTTTTTTTTTTTTTATATACTTGTGTTTTTCCACCTATAACTCCTAAAAGATGCATCAATGCGAAAAATGTATTATTTAATAGATTAAAGATTGTTAAATTTTGCCATTACATAATTGCATAATATATAATTATATAATTAACCCATATATATAAGTTAAAAAAATAAAAACTTTTCTCATATTTTTCGCAATGGATTTCCTTTTTCGATCCCCAAATTACTGGCCTAATATTCTGTAAATCATCAGCAATTTTTTAAAGCCGCGGCTCTGGAAGGTTCAGAGCAGACAAGGTTCTTTTTACTCAGAATAACATGAACTTTCGTAATTTACAATCAAACCTTCGCCTACGATCAGGTCGATTTTTGGGCCTTGGTTCCAGGGCTATTAGTTAGGGTATTGGATCAGTTAAGATATATATTCATATACACTGTAGGTACACAGAGTTGATGTGGCTTTATCCTACTTCTCGACGGCATTCGTTATTAATGTTTTCCTTTTCGAACTCCTCAGAACCTAAAACCCTTCCTTATATGCCTTATACCCTTAAATCCTCCATCTTATACACTCCTCTATCCACTCTCTCAACACCAGATCTCAACCTATAGATTTATATATCCCCTCCCATAAAACAACTTCTGTCAGTAAATTCTTCGTCATTCGTGCTATCTCCTTTTGGAACTCCTTACCCCTCTCTATACCTCAAACCTCGTACATAAATTCCTTCAAACAACTCCTATTTCACCACCTACTACAAACTAAAAATTCTCCAAGCTTGTAAGAATTTTTGGATTATATAATTACATTGATCACCAGCAGTAACTTGATAGGAGCCATTTTATTTTTTCCCTTTTTTTTTTCTCTCTCTTTCAATATTTCCTCTATATATTTGAATTTTCTTAGTATTGTTTTGTATTATATCTACATGCCAGACAAATATACATAGTTTTTGAACTCTGCTATTATTATAAGGGGTGTTCAATCCCAGAATAAAATTATTTTTCATTTCATTTCATATTCGTTAAGGCTAACAAATAACTTATGTTTAAGCGTGATACACGATTTGCCACTAAAAATATGAAGCGTCAACTTTTTTTTTTCTCTCTTCTTCCTCGTCTTTTAAGTATGCGGTTTTTTTTATTGGACCAGGAGGAGTTAAAAGTTCCCCCGGAAGAGGCATTTGAACTCGTTATATTTGGTTTGTCAGGTTGCTGGGCAACGCTTTTTTAATATAACACGTTAGCCGATCGTCCACCTAGCCCTTTATGAACTGAATCAAAGTGACAAAATCATATATCTAAAGGTTTAAAAAAAAAAAAAATGCTAATCCCTTCCATCCCATCGATGATGATGGCACGTGCTACCTCATGCCAAGAAAATGTATTGTTTTCCTGTTTAAAAACTGTGTAAATAATAATAAATAAAAATTGTAGTTTAGTTTTTTCCCTTGTTCCTTGGTTTTAAAGCTTTCTCCTAGTGAAATCCCAATAAATTATAGCTCTCTCTTCAAACATTCATAAACCTGTAAATATGTGCCCCAAAAAAATTTTTAACGGAGCAATTTGCGGAATCCGATCCTCCTTTATGCATATAATTTATATTAAGACATGCGCGACTTTGTTGTTCGAATATTGATTGAATAAATACCACAAAATTTTAAAAATGACTAACATATCGGAGCACATTGAAATATAAATTAGAATAGCTTTTCTTCATACAGTAGCCACAGTATGACCGAATTTAGCACGGCTTATCTGCAGCAGCAGTCAGGCGCGGTGTTTTGGAATGAACTCCGAATAAGGAGAACCTATTTTGCATAACAGAATAATTTAATTAACTCAATCGAGGTTGTCTGCAAGTTTCAATAACGATCAATGGTCATTATATATAACACTCATCGTATTTATTATATATTTCAATAATGAATCTGACGAAGAATTTAGCGTATTGTACTATAAATCATGGGGCGCGGACATAGTAAACAATTATCTTTTTTTTATTTATATATTAATAAGAAGTGACTTAAAAGAGAATGAGGATGAAAAGGATTATGAGAAATCAGGAGAGGGTGTGCAATATTTATGAGTATTTATCAAAACTATGGAATAGACGTAGGAATGATTTATTTAACGCAAAAAGATTTTTGAATGTCGGATTGATAGCTCTTTAAGTTATCGCGCTAAAAGAAAAATATCCTATTGCTTATATTTTCATAACTATTTAATTTTAAATATATAAATTTATTTTTGATTTGTTTCATTTAAATTAATTCTGATATAGCTAAATATTTTTTTTAAACACCATATAGAGCACATGTGGTGAACCTGACTTTCGTGACGTAGCTGCAGCCTTAAAAAGTTTTCTCGCAGTCTTCATTAATATTGTGGTTAGAATTAATTAATATTTAATTATTTAGATTTGAAAATCAATAGAATTAAGTTGAATAGATGTATATATGTATTTACTTATTAATAAAAATATACAACAGTTATATATAAACTATTATTCCATTATCACTTCTATAACGTTATTGTGGCCTCTAATGATAAGAAAAAACAACTAAGGTGTTTGCTTTAGACCACACGATAAAAGGAAAAACATCAACCAGGCTAGATTAATAATATGAAAATACAAATAATAGCTCATCAAAAAGTTGATGAAAAGCTGAACATTTCTCTCGCTTACTCCGATTTTTAGTATCCTTGATATTTTAATCAAGATCTTCAATAAAACTCGTTATGATTCGGTTTCTGACAATATTTTTTCTCCTTTTCACTTGTCTAACACGGCAACGCGATAATATACAATTTGAATAGCCCAATACAGAAATGCTGAACAATTTCCTCGATTACAGTATGCAGTTCCGATTTTTAGTTTCTGAGATATTTCAATCGATATCTTCAATAAAACTCGTTATCATTTGGTTTCCAACAGTATTTTACCCTTTTCATCTCTTTAACACGGCGACGCGTTAAGATACAATTTTGAATAATAGCCCATTACAGAGACGATGAAATTCTGAACAATTTCCTATATTACAGTATGGAAGTCCTATTTTTAGTTTCTGAGATATTTTGATCAACACTCCAATTAGTCGACTTCTGCTGAGTTTTTCCGAGCGTTACACATCACGCGAGATCACGGCTCAATCTAATTCACAAAAAAAAGTGCAAAACGCCCCTAAAGAGGTTTTTACTTCATAAAGGTTTCCCACCATATAGATATAGATTATTAACAGAGAGGGGTAGCTCAGTGGTAGGGTACTGAGCTCCCAATGCTAAAGGTCCCAGGTTCGAATCCTGGCTCATGGTAGAAAAATTATTTACTCTGTTTCATTGGCCGTGGGGCGACCCTGGGTAGGTAGACCATCCTGTGGCACACCCAGCCTCTATAAAATGGGTACCCTAAATTAAAATAATAGATTAAGGGAGAAAACCTGGCGGTTGAGCGTGATCTCGGTCAAATCACCTCCTTGCACAACCGTAAACTAAGAAACAGTGCTTCCGTTAAATAGTACTGAACCCAAGACCCTTCATGGGTTGTAGTTGTACATTTTTTTTTTTTTTTAATAGAAAGAGGAAGTTCTTCGAAAATAAAATATTATTTTAGAACAACTGTATTTGATTAAAAATGAGGATAAAAATAAAAGAACTTACCTTGAAAAAGATTCCTAGGTAGTACCTCTTCTCTTTGTACTTGAAGATTGGCATGTTCCATTTGTTGATCTCTGGCCCTCCGACGCTGTCGTCCACGCAGTTAGTACACTCTCCTGCAGAATAGATTCTATGTTAGAACACGCCGAATAATTACAAAATATCAAATTATTATTTAATAAGTGCCTTCATGGATGAAGAAGGGGAAACCCGAAATGAATAGAATATTTTAACTTTTTCTTAGCTAAAGAAAAAAGGGTCATGACCATGGATACGATGTTAGGGGAGCGAATTAAGACTTGAAAATGGCCCAAGCACTAGCCGAAACGTTGTAAAAAAAGATATTAAAAAAAATAAAATATTGGTGGAAAATAGCCTTTAATTTATGAAAAATGAAAAAAATGCTAAATCTTCGAAATAAATTTACATATTACTAAGATCAACATTTCGTCTCAACAGTCACTAATATATAGTGTATTTACATTATTATTTTCTTATATACTTTCTATTTGATAATGGCGAAGAACCATAAACTAAATATATATAGGGCAAGTTCCCAGCCTTAGTTAAACAACCGATTGAATTGGACAGCGATGAATAGTGATTTATGTTGAGATTAGGAACGACCGGATTCCAACATGAGGTTTTAACACATCTGGAGTGCTGTTTTGTAACCTTAAAAATAATTAGGAAAATAATATAAATTCAGGAAAAAATATTGAATTTTTGAACTTCATAACAGTTATAAGTAGAAGAGTAAACGAAATATAAATATCTAACGCAAATAGAAAAATAAAAATATCGAAATTGTAACCCTGAAAACCGATGGAGTAGATGAGTTATAAGTGTGTCAATCGTTGAAGAAAATTATGCATTGAATTCCATCAATAGTGTCCATCGATGAGTTAGCGCTGAGCTTAAAAACTTGCTCCGTGTACAAACAAACACTCTGTCTAGCATTATAAATATAATGAAAATCGAGCTATTAAATTAATAATAATAACAATATCCTTCTTATAAAATAGCAAAGAATGTATATGACTTAAACAATGAGTTAGCACCCATCAGCGAAAGTAGAACCGTAGTCGGTTTCACGCCTCTAGCAGTTAACTCTAATAGGAGGAGAGTTTATTCCCTTCAACAATTGTTTCAAATGATACTTTCATTATTTTAAACGTTTTCTTTAACTATTCAACAATAAAAAATAGTTAAGTGGGTCCTAAGTAATAATAGAACGAACCGAGAAAAAAGAATGCTATTTTAATTTCAAAACAGGCAATATAATATCTGTATCCCGGTGGTAAAGAATACTATGTCACATTTTTGTATTTTTTCAGGGGCGCCAATTTTCCTTGACTTTAAGCTATTAAAATTTATTTCTTAGTTAATAAATTATTATATAACGAATCGACATGGCATCCTTTATCTCCGGGGGCACAGATATGTATATTCTTACACATTAGAAGGATAAAACACAAAAATTAAAAATTCTTGCTTAACATGTTTTATTCATTTTTTTAATGCAAACAAATTTTTTTTTTGACCACCTCCACTGCATTTTATGAATTAAGTTAGGAAGAGAGAGGATAGAATCTAGAGAATGAGAAAAATGTATAAGGCTACCCTTATACATTTTTCTCATTCCCTAGATTCTAGAGAAGGAAGTGAAAGAGATATATAATGCTAATAAATGAATGAAAGAAATCGTAAAAAAAATATATATATAGAAAAAAAATTATAATAAAAAAATATATATGTAAAAATTGTATACTATGCTCATACATATTGTTAATACTATATAAATTTAAATTAGTTTTGAATAATTGTCTGTAGCGATTAATAAGTATGCTGTGTTTAAAGCAATCCAATGTAATTGGGCAGCACCCTCTTATGATAATAAAGTGATTCTCTCTGTATATCTAGATCTGTTAAACTGGCTAAATCGTGCTAGTTGTGGTAATTGTAAGATTCCACGAAGTGCACGAACAGAGAACAATAAATGCTAGTTACTAATAGAATTGGGAGAGGAAATCATGTTAAACTATTTATAATCTTTAGTTAATTGTGTAAGTGCTATCGCACGAGTTCCAATAAAACACAATTCCCATTAGCATATCTGTCCCACCTTGCGATGCCAGGTTTTGATTTTGAACTATCATAGCACAACATAGTGACAACGATATATATTATGTGGCTTACAGATAAAGAACAGGCCAATATCCACTGCTAACAAGATCCGACAGAGAACAAAACAAGAGCACTATCTACCGGCACGGACAATTACTATTGTGTAAAGAACAAACAGGAAATTGGTTGCGCTAGTAACGGGCTATAGCCGCTAATGGGAAAGGTTAGGATCAGGTGTGGCAACCGCTCTCACCGAAATACCAACAATAGTCCATTTTGTAACCTCATTGTCAGCGATGTTGGCTAAACTCCGGCCTTAGCTTACTTTTTTTTATAGGTTTGTCGAGGTTTCTCAGATATTGGCTGATATTGTGTGAATAGTAAGTATAGAGAAGAAATAATGCATCTGTACAAAGTTACAAGAGGGTAGGATGTGGCGGATGAGCCCCCCATTTTCAATTGCGTGGGTACTTGTTTCAACAATTTTGTTCTGCTGAAAACTGGGTGGGATTCCGAACTGATCGTTTTACACTATACAACATTTATTATGGACAAAAAAAAATATATATATTATAATGGGCTTTCTGGTTTCTAGCCCTGAATAATATCCAAATTTCAAAACTCTTATTAGCGCGGGTGAATTCTCTTGGTCTCTTAAATTATAAGTACCATTATTAAATAATACTTGAATTTTAATAACCATTTTTCGTCTAAGCTTTATGTTTATAATAATATTACATCGGTCATAAAATAATACCTTATGTGAAAATAACATCTTCTCTTTTTTATTTTGAGTATTACAAAAATCTGTCACATGGACACTAGTTATAGTGAGGTAGGATAACATTCACACTATATGTACAAAAATATAAAATAAATAGAAGCAGAATAATAATAAATAATAATCAAAAAGTATAACATTTTGTCTGATAAACAAAATGGATGCCAAGATTCAGAAAATATTACAACAGGAATTTAAGACGAAAATACTCCGAAGGGAAATGAGAATATTGTGTTATAAAGATTGGATGAATTGATTGACTCTGGAATGCTGTAGAATACAAATAAAAATGAAGACAAAATCTGGTATGGCCACTCTCACAACTTTCCTAAACTTTTTTTTGTTACAAAACCAAAATGGTAGCAATAAAATCGATTTTCTGGTTCTCCAGACATACAGACCAATAGCTAAGAATGTGTTTCAGGGAATCATGAGGCTCTGAAACGTAAAAATCTCATAATAACCATACATAGGAAATTTGACCCGATCGCAATAATTACCTAGTAGCGGTAGGAAAGTAAAAAAAAAAAACTTCCGTAAATCTTTATTCCATAGAAGTACACATAATAGTGATTTATTCAATATCATACAAACCTTGCTTGTTTGTATTGGTTATTTTATTTTTATCACTATATATCAGATATATTTTCAAACCAAAATTGTCAGTAGCTTTTGCAAATAAAACGAACTCAACACTCCTTTATCAGATAGACTTAATTGAGCTGTAACGTTTCTCAAAGGAATACCTTTGACCAACCAAAAAACTCACAGCTCCACATGTACAAACGAACCACCAAAACAATCCTAAACCTAACCAAACTACTCAAAAGGAAACTTCATCTACTGAGTACAAAACTAAATATTCAAAAATTACAGAAATCTTTTTTACTCATTACCGATGGATCCAAATCCAACGAGTCTATAGCTTATTTTTTGTTACTCATAATTCCACCCACAAAATAAAACTTAACAGATAATGCAGTATATAGATACAGCTGACGTATTGTAGCTGACAATCTATTTGGAGTGAGAGGCCGTCAAGCAAATAAAAATATATTAAAAAAAACAGCAAAGCCGTGGTCAACACCAAATTGTCCTATCCGCATAAAAGAGGTTGTCTTAACCAGACTGAGAATAGACCACACTAATCTAACCCATTCACATTTCATTAGCAAGCAGCCACCACCGAAATGCCACCACTGCAATAGTATACATACAATCATTCACAGACGGATCTACGGGGGGGGGGGGGGGCTTTCGGGCTGAAGCCCCTCCCAAAATGATAAAATGTAACAATCTTTCACAGAAAATAAAATATTAAAAACTATCTCTTAAAGTATTCTTGATCGTGTAATTATATTTAATAGGACTTCAAGAACCACTTAAACACCATTTCATATAGGTAATTAATTTCTTTATTTTTTTTTCAAATTAATTATCGCTATATGTATATGAAAAAAAAATCTTGCGGTCTGAAGCCTCCCCCCCAAAAATTAAATCCTGGTTCCGCTAGTGCAATCATTCATATTTTTCCAGAATATTCTCTTTATATAACAAACTTGACTAATTCAGGACTCACACTTCCAATATCAAACATCCTAAAAAATTACTTAAACTCAGTAAAGTTAGTATTACCTTTCTTAAAATTAAACAACATTTAAGAGTTGAAATTTAAATCTAGTTTAGCGATAAACAAAATTAAACACAGGTGTTGATGACCTCGAAGTATTACGCCTTTAAATCTCCAACTAATGACAATAACAAATCACTGTATATCAAACTTGTTAAAAGTAAAGATAATAAAAAAAACTTGATAGTCTTTGTAAAATAAATCGTCTAAAATGGGTACAAATGAATCATGAATACAAATACCTTTGATTGAGAAAGAATCGATATTTTGATCTATGTTGGTAATAAATCGATGTTTTCGCCATCGATGTTAAGCCGATTCCTTCAAATGCTAAGTAATATGCAAAAGTCATAGCATTAGTCAGGGCAATATCTCAAAGAGGTGCAATTAGGCCTTCTCTGAAGGTTGGGATATTTTGAAGGTTAGGAGTTGTAACGATCGTTCGCGAACGCCGTGATGTATCTCGCTGCTCGACAGCCAGCAATCCCTAACCTTCCCAGGTCTTCCTCAAAACTTTCATTTTTCAATATCGAAAGGTCAGACGCCGGGCCAGGTGGATGCCTGGGTTATTGAGGCCG